CGTATTTGTATCTTATCCATCACTTTCTTCTCCCTCTCTCCTCCCCCTCCCTTCCTCCTTTCTTCCTTCTGTCATCCTTCCCTTCTCGACGTTCCCTTCCCCTCTCCTTCTCCTCTCTCCCCTTTCCACTCCTCATTTTTCTCCTCCTCTCCCCCCTGCCCTTTCTCCTATCCCTTCTTTTTCCCTTACCTCTCCTCTACTTCCCACTCTTCCTCTCATTTACTTGGTGTATTTCAGCTTCTGAGCAAGCTCCCTTTTATGTTGATGGTATTTATAATTCCTTTTCAATATACATATTTAATTGCATCACCATGTTGAGGGAAATGTATGGCAAATAGAAATAATAGGAACTTGCTGTTTGAACTAAAAATGTGATTTAAAAAAACATTAAATATAGTGCTCCTGGTTTTTCTAGTTGACTTCGAGTCCTAGTGGAAATATAAGAATCCACTAATTTCTCTTTTTTTTTACAGGTAGCCTTTGATTTATGACCACAGTTGAGTCCCAGTTTACGACCTTTCTTGCCACAGTTGTTAAGTGAATCACTGCAGTGGTTAAGTTAGTAACACAATTGTTAAGTGAATCTGGCTTCCCTATCAGTTTTGCTTGACAGAAGGTCACAAAAGATTCGCACGACCCTGGGACACTGAAACCCCCACAAATACGAAACAGTTACCAAGTGTCCAAATTTTGCTGCAATGGTTGTTAGTGTGAAAAACGGTCATGTCACTTTTTTACAGTGCCATTGTAATTTTGAACAGTCACTAAACGATATGGTTGTATGTCAAGGACTTTCTGTATAGAAAACTTCAGACTGCAAGTATGTGGAGATGGCTGTAATCTTTTAGAGATTTATTTGGAAGAAAGTCCTATGGGACTCCTATTGGACATTTGCTTTTGAATAAAACACAAGTGTGTTATAAATCTAATGAAATTATACCAGTATTGAACATTGATCATAGTGGCACAGGAGAGGCACACAAATTATAGCTGAAATTTCATCAAAAGCCGTGAAAAATTGTGCTACAGAACAAAACTGAGAGGAAAGTGAATAAAATATTCACTTTTGCAATGGGATACTTATTAGGCTCAGTGGCTAAGACGCTGAGCTTGTCGATGAGAAAGGTCGGCAGTTCGGCGGTTCGAATCCCTAGCGCCGCATAACAGTGTGAGCTCCCATTATTTGTCCCACCTTCTGCCAACCTAGCAGTTTGAAAGCATATAAAAGCAAGTAGAAAAATAGGGACCAGCTTTGGTGGGAAGGTAACAGCGTTCCGTGCGCCTTTGGTGTTTAGTCATGCCGGCCACATGAGCACGGAGACGTCTTTGGACGGTGCTGGCTCTTTGACTTTGAAATGGAGATGAGCACCGCCCCCTAGAGTCAGGAACGACTAGCACCTATGTGTGAGGGGACCCTTTACCTTTACCTTACTTATAAATAATGCTAGTTTGCAGAAATGGTCAGGTTCTTTAATATTTTAGAATTTAATGATCTGTTATATTTTTTCCAATGCAGATAAATACAAATGAAGTTACAAGATTTTCTGATTTCCCAATATCCAGGAAAACTTTGAAAGGTAGGAATGGACTCCTTAAGGATAAAAATGTCCTCAAATTGAATACTGTTCTATTTGTTGCATTCTGAAACTGTGGTTTTGCCTTCTGTGTATCATCAGGCTTACAGGAAGCTCAGTATCGCATGGTGACTGAAATCCAGAAGCAGACCATAGGTTTGGCCTTGCAGGGTAAAGATGTTCTGGGAGCTGCCAAGACAGGATCAGGCAAAACTTTGGCTTTCGTTGTACCTGTAAGTAGGGAAATACTTGTTGCATATCATCATATAAGCTACACTATATTGTCAAAAGTATTCGCTCAACCATCCAAATAATCAGAATCAGGTGTTCCAATCAGTTCCATGGCCACAGGTGTATAAAATCAAATACCTAGGCATGCAGACTGTTTTTACAAACATTTGTGAAAGAATGGGTTGAACTCAGGAGCTCAGTGAATCCCAGCGTGGAACTGTGATAGGATGCCACCTGTGCAACAAATCCAGTCGTGAAATTTCCTCGCTCCTAAATATCCCACAGTCAACTGTCAGCTGTATTATAAGAACGTGGAAGTGTTTGGGAACGACAGCAACTCAGTCACAAAGTGGTAGGCCACGTAAACTCATCCAACATCAGCGTGTGACCTCACAAATGCGCTTCTGGAAGAATGGTCAAAAATTCCCATAAACACACTCCTGAACCTTTTGGACAGCCTTCCCAGAAGAGTTGAAGCTGTTATAGCTGCAAAGGGTGGACCGATGTCATATTGAACCATATGGCTTAGGAATGGGATGTCACTTACAGTAAGTTCATATGCGAGTAAAGGCAGGTGAGCGAATACTTTTGGCAATATAGTGTAAGTTACAGTGAAAAAATTGAAAAAATTATTTAGCACCCGTCCTCGAAGTAATGACTGCTGTTCCACCTCCTCAGTCATGTGATGACATTTCATCTGCTTGGCAGCCAGCTTACATTTACGACCAGTTGCAGCCTCTACAAGGCGCATGACTTTTGCTGTTTTCCAGCAAAAAAAGATGCCCATTGGATAAGATGGATTTAGGCTTATGATCATGTGATTTGTTTAAGAAGTTGTATCATTTGCTTAACTGCAGTGACTTGCTTTAATGAGTGTCATAAAAATGGTCGTAAAACAAGGGCCGGTCATATGGTGGCTCGAACCGCAATGACTTCTGATGAAAATTGTGACCATAAGTCAATTTTTTAAAAAAATAATAATTATTTAATGTTGCCCAGAGTAGCTATTTGTGAGATTTTTGTGAGCCCCTTTGATAAGCAAGCAAATGAAATAAATTGACAGGCAGGTGCATTTTCCTTCAACAAGAGATTGAACTGGGCAGATGATACCTTCTGCCTTGTCAAGCTGCAGGAGCGATGCCATTTTATTTGATGAGCGTTTTAGTGCGCAAGAAGCATGTCTTGAACAACTCTTGGTTAGAAACCGATATCGATTGGTGCATAGTCCATGTGCTGAAGCTCGTTTTCTCCAGCAAAGTGTTGTGGCTGCAGGACTGTTTAGAAATCACGGGAGTCCTGTTGCTTGCGAAGGGGAGTTTCACCATGGAGATATTTGAAGTGAGTTATTGCGTCAAAGGTTTGCTTTAGAAAGGCACATTGTAACTGGTTATAGATTAATATTGAAAAAGTGTACTCCAGAAGAGCATGTGATAGACTTTCTAACTATACATTTTAACTATTCAGGCTCTAGAAATTTTATACCGACAGCAGTGGACTGCCATGGATGAATTGGGTGTTTTGATAATATCTCCTACCAGAGAATTGGCTTACCAGACATTTGAAGTCCTGCGTAAAGTGGGGAAGAATCATGAATTTTCTGCAGGTCTAATCATTGGTGGGAAGGTAGGCTCTTCTTTTCAACAATAATTGTTTGGGGGCAGTTAGAATATTCAAAGGATATTTGTTGGCACAGTGGATTTAGATGCCTGTTAAGGGTATGTAGGAACCTCCCCTACCCAATTCTAGAACAAACCGTTGAACAAAAGTTCTGCAGAATGATTTCAGGTCAGCCACTAGCTCGTCTGACCTTTAATCTCTATCTGTTTCTTTTCCTCCCTCAATCATTACTGGCAGGACATATCCCCCTGATCTTAGAATCATAGAAATATAGGGCTAGAAAGGACCTTGGAGGTCTTTTAGTCCAACCCTCTGCCTGAGACAGGAATTAATCTTCCTATTAGCTGTCTTTCTTTACTTAGTTACTGGCAATGTACTGCATCTGGCACATTCCTCCAGTCTTCCTGCCCATCCAATTTTTCAGTGCTTTTCCTTCTTTTTGAATAAGTTGAGGAAAGTATTGGCTATGATCCAGGATTCATTTCAGATAGCAATAAAAAGCAAGATTGGTACGGTGATCACTTCTCTGTTGGTCTACCAGCCGCCTCTAACATAAAAATATTCCCGCCCTCAAAAGCTCAACCCAGCTGGCAGAGCTAGGTTTTGTTGCCCTTCTAGAAGGTCAAAAGGATGCAAAGGCTAGAAGCACCAGGTTAGAAACAAGGAGACTATGAATTCTAGTCCTGCTTTAGCTATGAAAACCACTGGGTAACTTTGGGCCAGTCACTCAGCCCAAGTGTTGTTGTGTGGAAAATAGAAGGTGGAAGGTGTTTTGGACATGTTCTCACCTTGAATTATTTGTAAAAATAATAAAGGTATGATACAAACAAACAAATAAATAAAAATATTCCAAAGAGCAGGGCCACTGCAGAAAAAGCCCACTTCCCCACAGCATAAGAGAACACTGCAAAATCTATTTATAAGGCATTATTAAAATAAGGAATTTGTCCAAATTCCAACCAGCGATGTGCTACTTATCTGTAGATTGAGATCTCAAT